AATTCAGACACAAAACCCATACAGAGGGCTGACCATTTTATCATCGAATTTTGGCCTTATGATTTTTTTAATTTTATTTGTCCATAAGTTATTGGAGAACAGATGGTATTTGGTTACATGAGTAAGATCTTTAGTGGTGATTTGTGAGATTTTCATGTACCCATCACCCGAGCAGTACACACTGCACCATATTTGTAGTCTTTTATCCCTCTCCCCCTCCCGCTCGTCCCCGAAAGTGCCCAAAGTCCATTGTATCATTCTTATGCCTTTGCATCCTCATAGCTTAGCTCCCACATATCAGTGAGAACATACAATGTTTGGTTTTCCTTTCCTGAGTTACTTTTATCCTATGTAATCTGTAGTTCTGTGACTCATAGTCTATCCCCACTAGCCTAGGGTATGCAGTAGAAATAAATGGTAGGGAGGGAACCGAAGCTGGATGGCACAGATAGTAAGAACTATTGGTACTCTCCTACCAGGGAACGCTGCTGGAGTTGAAGACACGGGGGGAAAGAAGGGCAAGTAAGAAATAGGTGGTCTGGGGACAGTCAACAGTCAACACATGGGGACTAGGGTAGGAGCTCTGCTGAGAATGCTGTCTATGTGACTACTCTGACTACTCAATACTCTAATTTTGCGTTACATTCAAGGCCCATTAATCCCAAACTCATGTATTCACTTCACAACACTCCAGGTGCCTGCACAGCTTGGCCCTCCAGCCTTCCCTTATTCTTCCATTGATAAGATATGAAAAGATGAAAAAGAAGCTGAGGTTACCAATTTCCTGCACAGTGGGATGGAGGTGGCCACGAAGTATAGTACTGTGAAAAAAAGGTGCTATGAAACTCAGATCTTGGGCCCTGGCCTCCTTGCTCAGCCAAGCCAACTTTTTAAATAATACTGTGTGGCTTCCTCTGCAAATAGCCACTGAAGTAAATTAATTGATAAAGCATCAGCTTAGTCTGTAGGAGACTTCCTGTTATTTCTCTTCTGATGTACATACAGCACCAAGAACAGGAATGGCATCATGAGGGATTGAGGCAGTCTGTCAAGAAAGAAAACTGCCTGAATTCTGCTGGGAAATTGCTAAGACTGGTAAAATGGTTACTGCTATTCAGTTTGCAGTTAATCTGAAAATCATAAGGTGCAGTCCCACATGTGAAAATGATGCTTCTCCTTGTAAATAACTTTGGTTTCCTTTCTAGTGTAGAACTTGCCTTTAGAAAAAGACACTCCCCTGGTCTCCCTTTGCCCCAACAGGAATCTAGCAAATGGGAATGCAAAGCTGAATGAGCTCAGGAACCAAACCTCATTAGCATAAGGCTTCTGCCTCCTCGAAAACCAGTTTGTTTTCTTTTTTACTTAAAATTGTAAAGGCCCATATTAAAAAAGGAGAAAAATCTCAACTTAATAATCTAATCCTCTTAAGAAACTAGAAAATGAAAAGGAAACTAAAACTAAAGCAATTAGAAAGAAAATAACATAGAGAGGCAATAAATGAAGTACAGAATATAAAAAGCAGGAAAATCAAAACCAACTTTTGATTATTGAAAATATCTTGACTAACCAAGAATAAAAGACAGAAGACTCAAATTACTAAAATCAGGAATGAAAGAGGTACATTACTATTGACATTGTAGAAATTAAAAAGATTATAAGAACACTATCAACAAGTGTATGCCAAGGAATTAGATAACCTAGATGAAATGAAAAAACACAAACTACCTGTGATGGTTAATACTGAGTGTCAACTTGATTGGATTGAAGGATACAGAGTATTAATCCTGGGTGTGGCTGTCGCCAAGAGAGATTAACATTTGAGTCAGTGGGCTGAGTAAGGCAAATCCACACTTAATCTGGTGGGCACAATCTAATCAGCTTCCAGCAAATATAAAGCAGGCAGAAAACGTGAAAAAGGAAAGATGGGCCTAGCTCCAAGCCTATATCTTTCTCCTGTGCTGGATGCTTCCTGCCCTAGAACCCAGACTGGCTCTCCTTGCTCCTCAGCTTGTAGATACCCTATTGTGGGACCTTGTGATCGTCTAAGTTAATACTTAATAACTCCCCTTTATATATACATATATATGCCTCTCTATATATTGCATACATATATAAGGCACATATACATATAAAGGTGCGCGTGTGGGCGTGCGCATACACACACACACACACACACACACACACACACACACACACATCCTATTAGTTCTGTCCTTCTGAGAGAACCCTGACTAATAAACTACCAAAACAAACTCAAGAAGAAATAGAAAATCTGGACAGACGATTAACAATTACATACATTTAACTGGTAATCAAAGCTTTCCACAAGGAAATGTGCAGACCCAAATGGTTTCACTGGTAAATTCTAAACCTTTAAAGAATTAAAACAATCTTCACGAACTCAAAAACAGCAAAGGGAAAACATTCCATCTCATTCTACGAGGCCCTAATGCCAAAAACAAAGACATCACAAGAAAAGAAAAAAAGTATTAATTATATCTGTAGTGGGTAGAAATGTATCCCTTAACTGAATTGAGAATAAGCCACTATAATTGTAATTTGAGCAGACATCTCAGAATGTTACAATAAAACATGCAGAGAAGAGAAAAAAGCTGAGATCTTCCAGAACTGATAAAAGGTATCAGTACCCAGATTAAGGGACTCAGTGAATCCCCAAAAAATAAATAGTAATCTATGCCTTAGTAGTGCAACTGCACAAAACCAAAGACATATATACAAACACATAATCTTAAAACCAATCAGAGGAAAAGAGGCACATAACCTGTCTAGAGCTTGACAACTGACTGACTCTTCAAACTGTTAAGTCAGAAACTGTAGAGGCACTGGAGGTAGGAGACAGGAGGGGAGGGAAGGGAAGGAGAGGGGAGAAGAGGAGAAAGGATGAAAGGGGAGGAAGACAGGAGTGGAAGAGAAAGAATAGTCCTCAATTTACATTATGAAAGTAGCATAATTTTGGTACCAAAAGCTGACACATACAGTGTGACGAAGGAAAAACTACAGGCCAATCTCTCCTATGGACATAGATAAAAAAGAAAACCCTAAACAAAATATTAGCAAACCAAGTTCAGCAATAACAGTAATACATCATGACCAAGGCAGGTTCATATCAGGCATGCAAGGTTGTGGTGCATTAATACAACAGAACACTATAAGGTAAGAAAATAAATGAACTACAGCTACATGAAACATGGAGAAAATCTCTGTTAAGGAAAGGAAGCAAGACCCCAAAATTAATGATTCCACTGATAAAGTTCAAAACCAGGCAAAGCAGAACTTAGGCTTACTTAGGTTGCAAACTTTAAAAAAAAAGAAATTACTTTAAATGTCAAAAGAAGGGTTGCCCCTAGAGGTGGCACATGCCTGAGAAGGAATATACTTCTGGCAAACTGGCAATATTCTGCTTGGTCACTTTGGTAATGGTTATTCAGACGTTCTTAGTTTGTAGTTACTCACTATAAACTTGTTTTGTATGTTTTCTAAATTTTGCATTTCAAATGGCAAAAATACTATATTCCAACTTCATAGAAATAACACAGAAAAATGAGTCTCCAACAATCCTAAATAGTTTTCTTTTATATGGCACATACTTTGCTTTTATTTCATCAATTTTGCTATTTTAGGGAAGTTCTACGAGTCTGCCCCTATGCCACTATCTTCCTATACTGAAGTCCTCTGATCCTATTTCTAGTCCCTCAAGTCACATGTGACAAAGCTAACTCCATCTGAGGTCCTTTTTGGAGACAGTCTTGCTCTGTCACCTACGCTGGAGTGTAGTAGTGCGATCTTGGCTCACTGCAACCTCTGCCTTCCAGATTCAAGCAATTTTCCTGCTCGGCCTCCCGAGTAGCTGCGGTTACTTAAAGGCACATGCCACTATCCCCAGCTATTTTTATATTTTCAGTAGAGACAGGGTTTCACCATATTGGCCAGGCTGGTCTTGAACTCCTAACCTGAAGTGATCTGCCCACCTTGGCTTCCCAAAGTGTTGGGATTACAGGCATGAGCCACTGCATCCAGTCCCATTTAAGTCTTTAAGGACATCTATCATATCCCAGGGACTTTGAATAGCCACCTCTTCCCCCGTATTCCTCCCATTCCCAATACATTTCTTCTCTAAACAAAACATCCTGGACCTTTCATGTAACCCCATGGGCATTTTCCAAGTCTCTAATTTCTGGAGCAGCTTCATATCTGAACATGTTCCTTTAAGCATGGTACACAGATGGAAACATTCTGGGTATGAACAAATTAAACCGTCACTTGTACTATACATTCTCTACCTCTACCACTTGGAAGAGACTAAAGATACTGCAAATACGGACTTAAAGGCATAAGGCCCTGCATTTTAAGTCATTGCTGTGATCTCAATGTGTCCCCCAAAATTTATGCTGGGAACTTAAGTCTCCAATGCAACAGTATTAGGAGGCAGAGCATAATGGAAAGCATTTAGGACTCTGCCTTCATGAATGCATTATAATGCCCTTATAAAATAGGCTTGTGGGATTGGCTCTTTTCTAGTCGTCTGCCATGTGAGATCACAACATTCCTCCTCTCTGGAGGACACAGAAATGAGGCACCATCTTGGATCCAGAGACAAATCTGCTGGAGCCTTGATCTTGAAATTCCCAGCCTCCGAAACTGAGAATAAATTTCCATTCTCTGTAAGTTACCATCTCAGATATAGCAGCACAAAAAAAGGCAGTGATCATCATTAACTAAAATGTTATGCAGGTTGCTAAACCTCTCTGAGCCTATTTCTGTCATCTATACAATGGGTTTTATCTACTTTCTCCAGTATAAGCAAAAACCCAGCTGTTTATGGAGTACCTGTTACAGCAGACTTTCTGTAAGAGGTAACTAATATTAACAGTGTAAACTAAGACCATATCTCTCGGTAGCCATGTAATACTGTTTGTTCTTATTAAATTGTTACTCAATATTGATCACAGTTCAGCTGCACAAAACAGAATCCATTCTGGTTCAGGAGAAAAATATTTAAATTTTATTGACAATAGAAATAATTTTTAGCCCAACACAGTAAGCAAAAATGCTGGCAATGTCCCACTGAGTTGATTTCACGACTCATTAATGAATTGTGACCCACAGATAAACAATTACACTGCAGGGTATTAAATGGCCTGAAGAATCACCAGCAAAGAAGAAACACTAGCCTGTGCTTCCAGAAACTGGGTGGCCGAGCGAGCTGATTGCTCCAGAAGCACTCCATGAATATGACCCACATCCTCAGAACGATGTATGGTGTCTCACAGAATCTCATGGACAAAACCTAAGTGACACCCAAAACCCTGATACAAAGGAATCAGAAAAATACAGTAAAGAAAAGAAAGCACATTAGCAGAAACTGCCAAAAGATGTTAATCAAGCTAGGTCACAGACTCAGTCCCCTATCTGCAATGACATGCTTCTTGTATGTATTTATTCAAGCTATGCATGTGAGATGGAAAAACCTGGTAGCCGAAGTATACGTTATGTATCTTATCCCTATAAAAGGCATATTTTCTTGATTACGGCCTATTGCTACTTCCCTGAGGGAAACTCATTAACTAGTATAATTTGCCTAATGAGACGAAATTCAGGGGAACAAACCAAAGGTAACAAATCCCAAGCTACATGTCTTTCACAAACACACCTCTACCCAGTCAATAGAGGATTTATCAAAACAAAGATTAATAATGGAGAAATAAGCTGAGGATTCTTTTCTCATCCTCATCACAAAGAATCTTAAGATTAAAAAGTTCTTAGACTACTGAAGAGAACAGAAGAAGAAATAACTTTAATCTCTCCTATTCATTTTTAGTTCTTTTAGTTCAGCTTCTGCGATATTTTATACCTGTGAAAGAATTTAGTTTGCTGAATAAAAAGCATTGCTTAAGATTTAAAGCAATTAAAGCAAAATAAGTTGCTCAATGGGTATTATTTGAGTTAAACAATAGTATTTTTTATTCTGTAATCGATGAACATTTGATTTTAAGATACTGTTTACATCAGGTAACCACAAAGCAGATTTACGTACAACCATCAACTGCAGAAAAACAAAGTTTCTTTAAAAAAACAAAATTTCTTTAATCATAAAAAAAAAAAAAATAAAGAATGCAGTACTTTTAGAAGGTATTAAGTTTACAGAAGTACAAAACACCAAAACACTTTAAGCAAAAATTTTTTGTTTTTAAGAAGAAGGTATGACTTCTGGTTTTCTGTTCTTGGCATAAATTTTAATTCTTCCCAGTGGAACCAAAACCTCCCGAACCCCTTTTGGTGTCATCCAAAGCCTGAAAGACAGAAAAGCATCACAGTTTTCTTCAGAGCCTTTCAGTTTTCCTCTCCAGCTCCTAAGAAAAATGATATCGCCAGAACTGTACTCCTGCTATGTCATCTTTTCAAAAGCGAGATCACAGAAAGAAAATAATTAAATTCTAAAAAGTTCCATAAATTATAATCTTGGCTAACTGTAAAAAATTCTAAGAAAATATCAAAAGTTCAGATATTTAAATAACTTATCCAAATACTACATACCTACATAAAAAACATTTTAAGAAATTCAAAACTATTATTTGAAATTTGTGTAAGTTTAGTCATATCTACTCTTTAGTTACAAACAGCATATTAAATCCTCATGATATACATTTCTTCATTTAAGATGTTATATCGCTTATTCTCTATCAGCTTTTATAACACTTACTTGAACTTCTTCTATTTCTGGGTAAAAAATCCGTTCACAAATGAGCTGTGCAATTCGATCACCTTTTTTGACTTCAAAGAAAGAACAGTTTATTACTGATGTTATTGACACATCTACATCCTGTTTTATTCAATGAGAATTAAAGGAGTCAATATTATTTACACATACTGACTCCAAAAATTCACTAAAATTATGTGAATGTATACATTTAACATACCTTCAAACTTTTCTTTGCCAAAATTAAACAGTACAACACCAACATTTCCTCTATAATCTTCATCTATGACACCAGCTAGAGAAAAGAAAAATAATAGTATCGCAATTTTTGCTATTGGAAAACTAGAGGTGTAAGATTTTCTCAAAACCATTGTTAGGTAGCTCTGGATATTTATTCTTACAGTTGAATAACTGAATCTTGCCCTGGTACTATATAAAGCCTTAAAACCAAGAAATAGTGTTACTAAAACACAAAAATTTAGAAAAGAGGTCCTAATTTTCCAAACTGTCACTCTTTATCAAATGGCAACCATTTCCTATTTTAAACTGGGAGTAGCAATGACCATCTCCGACCTACTGTCTAAGCACTGCACACTTGCCAAGAAGACTGGAAGAAAATTACAATTTGCGTTTTAAAGGCTTTTCCTGGTATCAGCTTCCTGCTAATACCCATACTGAAATATTATTAAGTTGTAAATAAAAATGTCAAAAAGCCTAAAGCTCTACAATGTTTGAATAAATCAATGCTGAAACTGTTAGGCAGCAATCTTGCAAATATCAGAATATTCCATTTTTACACTAAAAATGAAACTGAACTTTTCAGTTCATAATCTTCCTCACCTTTGAATTTGAACCACTATCCTCTCTTAGAGCATGATTTCTCAAAAGACAGTAGCACAGAGGCTTCAAATGAGTATAACTTTTTATGTGTAATTAATACTTGCTTGAGATTATGAACACAGGGAGAAGATCTATGCAGGGGAGACCTGAGCCAGGTGCCTGCCACAGCCCAACGAGTTACACTTACCAGACTTGCTCCCATTTATCTTTAAGCCAATAATTTAATATATTTCCATAAACACAAGCACAGATAATACAGTTGCACCAGGCCTTTTCATTTTTTTTATATTGATAAATAATTCACAAAGCATACAATTCATCCATTTAAGTGTAAAATTCCACAGTTTATAGTGTATTCAGAGTTGGCCAAATATCTCCACAGTCAATTATAGCACATTTTCATTACCCTCCTTCCGAAAATCCCCTACCTATTAGTAGTCAGTCCCCTTCCTCCCCCCACCCCCAATTTCCTGCTATACATGTTAATTTTTTACCCTCAGTTTGTGAAAGGCTGGATAGGACTCACATGAATCTAACTGAATACAGCTCCATGTCACATCTTAACCTCTTAACTAACACCCTATCCTCAACAAAAACCCTTACGAAGGAAAAAAAATATGAAATAAAAATAATCCTGTGTTCAGTTCAGCTCAATGGGTAGTAATGCTATTTGCCCACACTCCTAATCATTTGAAATCTAACTAGAAAAACAAACCAAAACCCCCCAAAACATACCCACCCCACTTTTTTAAGAATATCCTTTCAATTTTCCCAAATAAGGGCAGGGGGAAAAAGCAAACCCTTAGGTCCACCATGGGGAAAAACACTCAGCAAAAACAACATTTTAGATTTTCCAAATGGATTACAACATAAGTTTAAATGAACTCTTGTGCTTTATGAATGAATGACTTAGAGATAAGTGAATCTGAATTTTAGCACTTTTTAAAGGTTCCTGATGCAATACTTTTATGAGAACAACGGTGAGTATAAAACTGGGCAGAAAAGCAACAAAGGCAGTTTATCTACTGTCTAGACTGAAGGAAACAATCAATTATTGAACCTGACCAATTCGAATACCAAACCCTGCTTTATTCCCCACACTAAGTTGGCCATTAATTTAGTCCTTAATATTTATGAAAAAATATAAAGATGAGATCAACTGTTTTCTACATTATATATAAAATACGTTGACTGCAGGGACAATTTAAATTAGACTTAATGAAGAAACCCCTCAACATAGCATGCTGTTCCATGCTAGAAAAAATGGCCACAGTAGGCTAGAGAACTTCCATGCTGGGAGATTTTGAGGTACAGGCTAATAATTCATCTATCTTGAATGAGTTAGAGAAAGACAATATGGACTGACTTCTGAACTTTTCTGTTTCTACTTTATTCAAAAATTTTAAAATAACCAAAACAATACAAATATATATAAAGTAAAAACTTACTCTCTTACCCTCCCTGAGGTAGCCAATGTTACAGAAATATATCTTACAAACTACCTTACTTTTTTCTATTTAGAGGATCATAGAGGAAATACAGTACCATTCTCTTTCCTTTATTTTTTTGAGGCAGGGTCTTACTTTGTTGCCCAGGCTGGAGTCTGGTGGTACTATCGAGGCTTACTACAGCTTCAATCTCCAGTGATTCTCCCACCTCAGCCTCCAGATGCATAGGTACTACCACACCCGGCTAATTTTTTTATTTCTTGTAGAGAGAAGGTAACCCTATCTTGCTCAAAATGAGCCTCAAACTCCTGGGCTCAAGCAATCAGCCCATCTCAGCCTCCCTAAGTGCTGGGATTACAGGCATGAGCCACCACGCCCAACATGTACCATTATTTCTATGTAACTTTTCTCTTATATAGTATCAGACACAGGTGGCTTTTACATTTTGCTATAATAAATGAAGCAGCCCTTAAATATATCGTTGTCTGATATATTTTCATTTTCATCAAATAGGTTGCAAAAAAAGGGTTCCATCAGCAATATTTGAAAATGCCCATTTCCAAAATCCTTGCAAAATCTGATGGCAGCAATCTCCTACATTCTGGCCAATACGATGAGTAAAAAATGGTTATCTCATTGCCTCACTTCTCATTCCTTGATGACCAGTGAGGCTGGACTTTTCCCCTCCCATTTGTTGGACATTTGCATGTCCTTGTCTGTATTTTCATGCTTTTTTCTCATTTGTTCTTTTTTATAGAAGTTGCAAATATTTGCTTATTGGCTTTATAGTATCTTCTAACACACAAAAACACTCCCTTTTCGTAAAGACCTCTGCTATGTATCTGTAAAGTTGTTGTATCAGAACCAAACGACTGCGTGTCTTGCATTCTACAGAGAAACGTGATCTAAGATTTTATGCTTGGTACACAAAAATGTGAAAAACCCTTAATTGATTTAAAAGGAATTAAGAAGTTTGAAGTCAATTAAAATGTATGGCAGAAAAAAAGGCCCTCTGTAATTTTTTTTTTTTTAGCATCAGTGCTGAAGGTATAAAAATTTCAGTAGTTCTCAATTCATTTACTACCCAATTGCCATGTGACCTTCAAGAAAAGCCTTCTCTGCTTATGGGATGTAAGTATCAGGGATATTTCTCCTCAGAGAAAGCAGAAAGTATCTTGAAGTTATCACTGGAAAAATCATGCATTGGAACTGGCAGAGTGATTAACTGACTTCAGGCAAAAGTTGTACTGTGTTTTGGCATGTCATTTGTTGGAAACCTTTTTTTAGTGAAATACTATCCACACCTACCAGATGTGAATTCTGAACAGAATCCTGCATGCTCAACTTTTCCCTTTGACCTTATTTACAGCCTGAGATTTCTAAGAACATCTCTCTTCAGAAATAAAAACTGTTGCCAATTATGATAAACTTGTGCCTAAGGGACATTTTTAAGATTCTCTGCATCCAAGAACACACCGCAATGTGATTTTATGAATAACACCATACCAACCACCAGGCAAACTAACTTTCCATTGTTTTACATGAAGTTATTTCCAGCAAGTTGTTCTAAACAGAGCAAAAATTAGTAACAAAGCCAAAAAAAAAGAAAAAGTTTCCACATAAAAACAATCTGTGAAGTCACTAAGGATAAAAGTTATATCTCACAGACTACTATGCGCCAAGCACTATATATTTAATATACATTATCATTTAATCTTCCCACCTCTCAGAGGCAGACACACTAATTTCCTTGGTAAGATGAAGAAACTGAGGCTCAGAAGCGTTAAGAAATAGCTAGTTAGTGACAGAGCTGGGACCTAAATCCAGTTGTTATTCCAAAGCTCCCATTCCTTGCACAGTAATTTGAGACTTCATTAAAAATATGTACAATCATTGATATCCTTCAGTTACAGTCCCAAATAACATAGCTGACCTTGTGAAAGCATTTTTGAACATCAGGCATAACTTACAGAGCCCAAGGACTCCTCAACCCAAGAGTGGCTATCAATGTCCATCCCTGCTATGTAAAACTCAGCTCCCCTTTAGTCCCTGAGAAAGAACTATGTACTTTTTTGGAGTCCTGTCTTGTCCCACAGCACCACCTAGTGACACTATGGAGAGACACCACACACACCAAATGTTAGACTAAGGGGCAGGTCTAGGATAGCCAGGCTTCATTAAGTGCTTAGTTAGCCCCCGCAGTGGCACATAAAAGTGAACTAATTCAGGACAGTGTTTAGTTGGTGAGGGGGATGCAGCAGGGTAATCTCCACACTTAATTGCAGTGGAAAGAACAAGGGGGATGGAATCACACAGAGATTCCAGTTTTTACCACATATCCGCTTGGACTTTTTCTGAGCCAGTTTCCTGATCTGTTAAAAAGCTCCATATAGTAGCTCTGTAAAAATGGGTGGAGGAGGAGATCTAGCACACCTACTTATCTGGGGGCCAAGATATCTTGTTAAACGAAACATTCACTACTGATGGGATAAAGGGTCAGTATACAGGGACCATGACTGGAATCTGAATCCCAGTCAGAGGAGATCTGAAGCAAGGAAACCGTTTCAGGAAAGCAGAAATTTCCTTAAATAAGGAGGGTAGCACTGTAGGTTAGAAATCCTACAGCAGGGACTTCTGCCAAGATGGCTAAATAGGAACAGCTCCCATTCATAGTTAACAGAGAGAGTGATCCAGAAGGCGAGTGATCTTCACATTTCCAACCAAAGTACCAGGTTCATGTCATTGGAACTGGTTAGAAGACGGTGAGAGTAGCCCAAGGAAGGCAAACGGAAGCAGGGTGGGGCACTGCCTCACCCAGGAAGCACAAGGGGCCGGAGAACTCTCTCTCTTAGCCAAGGGAAGCCTTTAGGGACTTTTACAGATACTCTGGCACTCTGGCCTAGATACTGCGCTTTTCCCACAGTCTTCACAACCCACAGACCAGGAGATTCCCTCTGGTGCCTACAATACCAGCAACCCGGGTTTCCAGCACAAAACTGGGTAGCTGTGGTAGCCAGGTTTTTTCTTCTCATACCCCAGTTTTTTGTTTTCATTCCCCTGAACAAAAGGGGGTTAAAGCCAGGGAGCCAAGCGATCTGGGTCTGTGGGTCCCACCCCCACAAAAACCAGCAAGCTAAGAGCCATTGGCTTGAAATTCTTGCAACCAGCATAGCAGTCTGAGCTCCACCTGGGACATTCGAGAAAGGTGGGGGGAGGGGCATCCACCATTACTGAGGCTCCAGTAGGCAGTTCTAAACTCACCTGTATAAACAAAGATGCCTGAAAGTTTACACAACAACCTGGTAGAGCCCACAGCAGCTCAGCAAAGCCTCTACAGGCAGACTGTGACCAGACTCCCTTCTTGCTGGGCAGGGCATCTCTGAAAAAAGGCAGCAGCCCTTCAGGGACTCATAAATAAAGCCCCTAGCTTCCTGGGACAGAGCACCTGGGAAAAGGGTCAGTGTGGGTCCTGCTTCAGTCGTCTCTGCCTAGCATCTCTGAAGGACCAACAGAGCTCCCAGCACAGCACTTAAGCTCTGATAAGGAACAGACTGCCTACTCAAGTGGCTCCGTGACCCCCGTTTATCCTAATAGACACCTCATACAGGACAGCTCTGGCTGACATCTGGCGGGTACCCTTCTGGGATGAAGTTACCAGAGGAAGAAACAGGCAGCAATCTTTGCTGTTCTGCAGCCCATAGGTGATTCACAGGCAAGCAGGGTCTGGAGTGGACCTCTAGAAGACCTGCAGCAGAGGGACCTGATGGTTAGAAGGAAAACTAAAAAACAGAAATAGCTTTAACATCAACAGAAAGATGTCCACTCAGAAACCCCATCCAAAAGTTACCAACTTCAAAGACCAAAGGTAGATAAATCCATGAAGATGGGAAGAAACCAGCACAAAACCACTGAAATCGCCAAAACAACGCCACTTCACCTCACCAGGAATGGAACAAAACTGGATAGAGAATGAGTCTGATGAACTGACAGAAGCAGGCTTCAGACGGTGGGTAATAACAAACGTCTCTGAGCTAAAGGAGCATGTTCTAACCCAATGTAGTCAAACTAAGAACCTTGAAAAAAGGTTAGATAAAAGGCTAACTAGAATAAACAACCTAGAGAAGAACACAAACAACTTGATGGAGCTGAAAAACACAGCGCAAGAACTTCATGAAGCATACACAAGTTTCAATAGCCAAACTGATCAAACGGAAAAAAAGATATCAGAGATTGAAGATCAACTCAATGAAATAAAGCAAGAAGGCACAATGAGAGAAAAAAGTGTGAAAAGAACGAAGCCTCCAAGAAATATAGGATGATGTGAAAAGACCAAATCTATGTTTGGATCGGTGTACCTGAATGTGACGGGGAGAATGAAACAAGTTGGAAAACACTCTTCAGGATATTATCCAGAACTTCCCCAACCTACCAAGGCAGGCCAACATTCAAATTCAGAAAATACAGAGAACACCGCAAAGGAATTCCTAAAGAAGAGCAACGCCAAGGCACATAATCGTCAGATTCATCAGGGTTGAAATTAAGGAAAAAATGCTAAGGGTAGCTGGAGAGAAAGGTTGGGTTACCTACTAATGGAAGCCCATCAGACTCACAGCAGATCTCTCCGCAGAAACCCTACAAGTCAGAACAGAGGCGGGGGTCAATATTCAACATCCTTAAAGGAAAGAATTTTCTACCCAGAATTTCATATCCAGCCAAACTAAGCTTCATAAGTGAAGGAGAAATAAAATCCTTTACAGACAAGAAACTGCCAAGAGATTTTGTCACCACCAGGCCTACCTTAAAAGAGCTCCTGAAGGAAACACTAAACATGGAAAGGAACAACCAGTACCAGCTGCAGCAAAAACATACCAAATTGTAAAGACCATTGACACTATGAAGAAACTGCATCAACTAATGGGCAAAACAACCAGCTAGCATCAAAATGGTAGGATCAAATTCACACGTAACAATATTAACCTTAAATGTAAATGGATAAATGCCCCAATTAAAAGACACCAACTAGCAAACTGGGTAGTCAAGACCCATCGGTGTGCTATATTCAGGAGACCCATTTCACATGCAAAGATACACATAGGCTCAAAATAAAGGGATGAAGGAAGATTTACCAAGCAAATGGAGACCAAAATGAAGCAGGGATTGCAATCCTAGTCTCTGATAAAACAGACTTTAAACAAACAAAAATCAAGAGAGACAAAGAAGGGCATTACATAATAGTAAAGGGATCAATGCAACAAGAGCTAACTATCCTAAATATATACATGCACTGAATACAGGAGCACCCAGATACATAAATCAAGGTCTTCATGACCTACAAAGAGACTTAGACTCCCACAGAGTAATAGTGGGAGACTTTAACACCTCATTGTCAATATTAGCTCGAGACAGAAAATTAACAAGGATATCCAGGACTTCAACTCAGATCTGGACTAAGCGGACCTAACAGACATCTACAGAACTCTCCACCCCAAATCCACAAAATATACATTCTTCTCAGAACCACATTGTACGTACTGTAAAACTGACCACATAATTGGAAATAAATCACTCCTCAGCAAATGCAAAAGAATGGGGAATCACAACAGTCTCTCAGACCACAGTGCAATCAAATTAGAACTCAGGATTAAGAAACTCACTCAGAACTGCACAAGTACATGGAAACTGAACAACCTGCTCCCGAATGACTACTGGATTAATAATGAAATGAAGGCAGAAATAAAAATGTTCTTCGAAACCAATGAGAACGAAGACACAATGTAACAATCTCTGGGACACATCTAAAGCAGTGTCTAGAGGGCAATTTATAGCACTAAATGCCCGCATGAGAAGCAAGGGAAGATCTAAAATCAACACCCTAATGTCACCATTAAAATAACAAGAGGAGCAAGAGCAAACAGAACTCAAAAGCAAGCAGAAGACAAGAAATACCTAAGATCAGAGCAGAACTGAAGGAAACAGAGACACAAAAACTCTTAAAAAAAAAAAAAAAAAAATCAATAAATCCAGGAGCTGGTTTTTTGAAAAGATCAACAAAACAGATAGGCCGCTAGCCAGACTAATAAGAGAGAGAAGAATTGAACAGCTGCAATACAAAATGATAAAAGGGATATTACCACCAATTCCACAAAAATATAAACTGCCATCGGAGATTACTACAAACACCTCTATGCGCATAAACCAGTAAATCAAGAAGAAATGAACACTTCCTGGATGCTTACAACCACCCAAGGCTAAACCAGGAAGGCGTTGAATCCCTGAATGTATCAACAAAAAGGTCTGAAGTTAAGGCAGCAATTTAATAGCTTATCAACCAAAAAAAGTCCAGGACCAGACAGGTTCACAGCCAAATTCTACCAGAGATACAAAGAGGAGCTGGTACCATTCCTTCTGAAACGATTTCAAACAATACAAAAAAAGGGAATCCTCCCTAACTCATTTTATGAGTCCAACATCATCCTGATACCAAAACCTGGCAGAGACACAACTAAAACAGAAAATTTCAGGCCAATATCCATGATGAACATTGATGCAAAAATCTTCCATAAAATACTGGCAAACCTAATCCAACAGCACATCAAACAGCTTATCCATCACAATCAAGTAGGCTTCATCCCGGGGATGCAAGGCTGGTTCAACATATGCAAATCTATAAACGTAATCCCACATAAACAAAACCAAAGACAAAACCACATGATTATCTCAACAGATGCAGAGAAGACCTCTGACAAAATTCTACAGCCCTTTATGCTAAAAACTCTCTATAAACTAGGTATTAATGGAATGTTATCTCAAAATAGTAAGATCAATTTATGACAAACCCACAGCCAATATCATACTGAATGGGCAAAAACTGGAAGCACTCCCTTTGAAATCTGGCACTAGACAGGGATGCCCTCTCTCACCACTCCCATTCAACATAGTATTGGAAGTTCTGGCCAGGGCAATCAGTCAAGAAAAAGAAATAAAGGGTATTCAATCAGGAAAAGAGGAAGTAAAATTGTTTCTCTTTGCAGACAACATGATTATATATTTAGAAGATCCTATCTTCTCAGCCCAAAAGCTCCTTAAGATAAGCAAGTTTAGCAAAGTCTCAGGATACATAATCAATATGAAAAAATCACATGCATTCCTATACACCAATAACAGGCAAACAGAGAGCCAAATCATGAGTGAACTCCCACTCACAACTGCTACAAAGAGAATAAAATACCTAGGAACACAACTAACAAGGGATGTGAAGGACCTCTTCAAGGAGAACTATAAACCACTGTTCAAGGAAATAAGACAGGACACAAACAGATGGAAAAACATTCCATGCTCATGGTTAGGAAGAATCAATATTGTGAAAATGGCCATACTGCCCAAAGTAATTTATAGATTCAATGCTATCCCCATCAAACTACCACTGACTTTCTTCACAGAATTGGAAAAAACACACATTAAACTTCATATGGAACCAAAAGAGACTGCACATAGCCAAAACAATCCTAAGTAAAAAAACAAAACAAAAAAACAGAAAAACAAAGCTGGGGGCATCATGCTACCTGACTTCAAACTATACTGCAAAGCTACAGTAATCAAAACAGCATGGTACTGGTACCAAAACAGAGATATAGACCAATGGAACAGAACAGAGGCCTCAGAAGCAACACCACACATCTACCATCATCTGATCTTTGACAAACCTGACAAAAACAAGCAATGGGGAAAGGATTCCCTATTTAATAAATGGTGTTAGAAAAACTGGCTAGCCATATGCAGAAAGCTGAAACTGGATCCTTTCCCTACACCTTATACAAAAATTAACTCCAGATGGATTAAAGATTTAAACATAACACCTAACACCATAAAAACCCTAGAAGAAAATCTAGGCAATACCATTCAGGACATAGGTATGGGCAAGGACTTTGTGACCAAAAAAACAAACGCAATGGCAACAACAGCCAAAATAGAAAAATGGAATCTAATTAAACTGAAGAGCTTCTGCACAGCAAAAGAAACTATCATTAGAGTGAACCGGCAACCCACAGAATGGGAAAAATTTCTGCAATCTACCCATCAGACACAGGGCTAATATCCAGAATCTACAGAGAACTTAAACAAATTTACAAGAAAACATCCCCATCAAAAAGTGGGCGGATATGAACAGACACTTTCAAAAGACATTTATGCATCCAACAAACATATGAAAAAGAGCTCTTCATCACTGGTCATTAGAGAAATGCAAATCAAAACCACATTGAGTTACCATCTCACACCAGTTAGAATGGCGATCATTAAAAAGTCAGGAGACAACAGATGTTGGAGAGGATGTGGAGAAAGAGGAACACTTTTACACTGCTGGGAGTGTAAATTAGTTCAACCATGGTGGACGCCAGTATGGGGATTACCCAGGGATCTAGAAACAGAAATACCATTTGACCCAGCAATCCCATTACTGGGTATATACCCAAAAGATTATAAAACATTCAACTATTAAGACACATGCACAAGTATGTTTATTGTGGAACTGTTTACAATAGCAAAGACTTAGAACCAACCCAAATGCCCATCACTGATAGACTGGATAAACAAAATGTGGCACATATTCACCATGGAATACTATGCAGCCATAAAAAAAGTATGAGTTCATGTGCTTTGCAGGGATATAGATTAAACTGGAAACCATCATTCTCAACAAACTGACACAAGAACAGAAAACCAAATACAGCATGTTCTCACTCATAAGTGGGTATTGAACAATGAGAACACATGGACACAGGGAGGGGAACATCACACACTGCGGCCTATCAGGGGTAGGAGGGCTAGGGAAGGGATAGCAGGGGGTGGGCACTGGGGAGGGCTAACGTTAGGGGAAATACCTAATGTAGATGACGGAGACGAGGGGAGGGATTGGATGCAGCAAACCACCATGGCATATGTACACCTATATAACAAACCTGCACGTTCCGCACATGTGCCCCAGAACTTAAAAGTATGATTAAAAAGAAAAAAAAAGATACTGAGGGTTCTTCACAAAAGGTACCACATGAGGTAGTGTTAACTTTGGGAGATATGAGAAAGACTTTATTATAAGGGAAACAGGTACCACAAAGGACTCTCCTGACAAATTTAGAGAAAACTGTTTTCTCTACTGACTTCAGGGAAAGATATTCTTGTATCTTGCTATAGACAGATAGCTCTCCTATCAAGGTAAGAAAATTCTTACAAGATAGACTTGCATTTTCTACAATTCTGTTGCTTACTCAATAATTATTACATCATCAAATTTAAGTCATTATTAATTAGGTAATAATTATTTTTAGAATTAAGTTAAAATATATAGTAGTTAAAAATATAATTGCTTAAAATACTTGCAAACTTTTCCTTCTCTTGTAATAACAAGCTTTCCGCTAATAGTCATTTTTGACAAAATGCAGATTATCACTAAACCAAGGCAAAAATCCTATTTGTCAGATAGTGCCTAGTCAGCCTATCAGTAAAACAACATGCATTTTACATAATGTAATTTAAAAATTAGACGTGAAATAGTATTTGAAATTTTATAATTGTCTTACTTCATATATGGAAATTTCTAAAGAGGCAAGTCACAACAAAAAATCATTTTTTTAAAAATAAAATCTGTCATTTGAATACTGCCTTTCAAACAAAGACAAAGGAAATACTTGCAAACATTTACAAAATAAAAAAGGAAATATATTACCTCCTACATCAATAAAGTGTTTTGCAGCCAAGCCAGACCGTGGAGCTAAAAAACAAAAAAGGAGACGGTTATTTTAAGGGAGAAGGGCTATGCTAGATATAGCTGACGCAATTTAAGCATGTCATTCTCTTCACCTATCATATCGATATCTTCATCTTAACTCTAGCACAGCATTTTGAATTAAAGAATATATTCATCATACTGTATTACCAAAGTTGGAAATAATAGTTTAGAAAAATTCTACAAGGTCTTAATTCAAAACTACCTTAAACCGCTCCCATGTGACTTCAATGGAGAATTTCTGGTGGTGTAGACATGGGAGAACAACTACTAGAATAAACTGAAAGGTGAGGAAGCCGGAACAACTGAAGCATGCTCTTTCAAGAAGGTTAGCCTCAAAGGGGAACAGAGGAGTGTGGCCGGCAGGAATACAGTACCAAGGAAGAGGACTTTGGTTTTAAGATGGGACACCACAACATGTACAATGTAGACAGGAAGGGAGGGTAAGAAGGGAGATGGGAACAAATCTAACCAAATAGCAGAGCACAGTCTAGAACCTGAGACCGCACTATTCAAGATTCAGATGCTAAAAGACATGCCTGAAGGAAACATATGAACCAGAGTAAGATAAATGGGCTAGTATCAGTTAAGCAAAATACCAAAAACCAAGTCTCAATGGTTCAATGTTAGTATACTTTTTAATCCTAAAAAATGAAAAAAAGAGCTAAGTTTATACCTTATACTTGCTGACTCAAGCATCACGCCTATAATGAATTATCCTAACTTCTAATATTTTATTTTAGAATAATTTAAATCAGGCACTTTGTCAGTAATGCTGCCTCTTTCTGTAATGACCTTTATTTCACTCCATCTCCGGCCCCTTCCCCTGAAAAACGTCTTAAAAATGCAGTTAATGATACCCAAGAGATGAGATCAGAGCCCATCTTGTTATCTTTTAAAGGCTGAAGTACTGGCAGTTTCCCCACTCATGGCTAATAAGATAGTGCCAGCCTAGCTCCCTACCCCGGAGGAGGGTGTCACAGTTCCACTGGCTCCTTTATGTTTACTCCGAAGTTAGTCAAAAAGAGCTTACACTCTTGCAAAGAACTCTGGGAACAACTGATCCATTACCGAAAAATCAAACCTGTTGACTTGTACTCCATTTTGTCCTAGCTCCTCCCAATCCCTCTAGAACACTGAAGAGTACTCCTTACCCTACCCCATGGACAAACAAGAAAAGGTTAAATAGGCTTACACACTCTAGGACCAACAAGGTTAGAAGTTTTACTCTCATAATATAAAATGTCTTGTTCTGAGAACAACCTCCTAGCCCAATGTGAACCTAAAAGCTCTAGTGAGGAAGGAGAAAAATAAAAGGGGTCAAAAAGAGGCAAAGCAGAGATGTAAATGAAGCCTTTCAAACAGTGCATTTGCTATCACAAATGGGGACACAGCCCAAGCAATATTATCTGCTTATTACCCCAAATGAAACATGAAGAATGTATCACAAAGGAGAGCTTGGCAAATAGTACCTGTTTCTTAAATGACTTACCTACTCTTCCGTAACACCCAGAAGGAAGCGCTATCTGTATGTCTGTTTTCACAAGAGCTTTCTCCATAGGTGGTATTGTATAATCATAGGCACTAAGAAAATATTGAAAGAAAGTAAATGCAAATCTACTTATAAAACTGGTTTTACATTTTGTTTGCGACCAAGCATATAAAATTGCTTTCAATACATTAATGAATGAATGCTAGTTTCTAAAATCGACCTTGCTATGAATTCCCAATCCATCTTAAAAGTTTATGAAGAAGGTAGAGGTAGCTATTTTCTTTTATTGAAATGACAGCTTTAGATAAAATAATTCTCTGTAATTTTGATGGTGTGAAGAGATGCCAACATTGTAAATGTTTGTCCCTGAACAGAAGTTTATTGGGAAACTGAGGTACTTATGAGCATGAAGGGGCACAAAAGCAAACTTTCAAAAGGTGGATGCTTTGCTACCAGTTTGAAAAGAAAAAAAATGAAGAAAGAACCAAGAAAAAAGGCCAAATACTGGCCAAAAATAGCTATCCTTAAGCCTTCACTATGTGCCAGGCACAGTTCTAATTGGTTTATATATATATATATATATATATATATAAACTCATTTTATTCTCACAATCATCTACGTGATTAGGGAAAACCTGCAGAAGGAAAAGAGAAAAAGGGTGGACAAAATAAGAGCGATAAAGAACTGCGTTGTATCTGTCAGGATGGGCTTGGTAGTTTACCAAGCCTAGGCCATGAACTTCCCGGCTGAAGGAGAGAGCTAATCACTCTCAACAGCCCGTGGAGATAGATCTTGCTAAGGAACGGAATTCCTCGAAGGTCCACACAGCAAATGCTGCCATTCTTGCTATTACTGTGGCCCTCTCCAGGGTAGAAAGTTGAGATTTTACAATGAGCAGACCGGAAGTTTACTTTGGAGGCCTTAATTAAGTCTGGTAAAGCAGTACTACACTTCCCCTTCTTTCACTGAAATCCCTCTTTAAACAGTTAAGCCCTAATTTATTGCAGAGACACATTATTTCCATGTCAATTTCAGTACACAGAAAGTCACCTGTGTTTATCAGGAAACTAAAGTATCTTAAATCAAGGACTCCCCTAGGACTCACAAAAGTGCTCCAATATATACTTTGGAAAGATCTAGTTAAACTACATCACACTACTTTTTTCATTAAAATTAAGAGACTGTACAGTTTTTCCAGCTACAATTGTCCATACCTAATTTCCTTCTCCATTTTTTTCTGTTGCTATCATCATGCACTCCTTTCTCTTCTCCTGTGTTTAGACCAATAGCTCTCATGTTCAAATTACCTGAGATAATTTAAAATAAATCCCAGTGCTGGAGATTTAGTTATATAATAAACCCTCCTCCTTCAGCATTACTTTTGACCTACCTTAATGGTTCTAAGAACTGGGCACAGTGGTCAAATGAAAAAAAAAAAAAAAAAAAAAGCCCAAAATTCAGGGTGAAAAAAATTCTATTACCTTCAAGCCTCTGGGCAGATCAATTCAGCTCTTCACAAACTCCCACATATGTAAAAAGTAACACTAATCTACTTAAGGATTGTTGTGAGGACTAAGAAAGTTTATGGTACAGGTAAAACCTGCCATAGAGATGAAAGCGTGGTAGCATTAAAAGCAGCTCTGCCTTTCCTGTTCAGGTGTCTTTTGAAATTCCGCCCTGGGGTCACATGAATGCATAGAAAATAACTCTTTTAAGGCAGATGTATGCTTGTTAATTCTATTCTTAGGTATTTTCACGCTCACATCCAGGCTCTCACCTCGGCTTTTCTATTGAGCACAGCATCACCCTCAGGCCACTCAGAAGCCACCACGTGCCTTCCCAATCTCTACCTTCTATTTAGGAAGGGTACAAGACAGGCTGCAAAGTAACGTCTTGGTAGACACTGTATAGCTATTTTACTTACTCTGCACTCTGCCCAAATCTCTATTTATGCTAAAGATGAAAGCTAAAATTTTCGACATGAAAAAAGGCAGATATCCTATTTACGTCTAGCTTGTTCCTGTAATGTCTTTGGTGACTGTTTGTAGCTGCGGCAGCGGATGGCCAGCCCTTCCCAGCCTCCTCGCCGAGAGCTCCCCGCTTACCTGTACAGGTCGTAGCCCGCGGCCCGAGCGGAGCCCCGCGTGGGGGCCGTGGCGTGCTCGGAGAGCCTGGCAAAGCGGAGCTGCATGACGCCCTCCTCCGCGGGCCGAGCCCGCTTGCTGGGTGAAACGGCGGGTGTCTCTTCAGAGGAGGGCATGGTAGAGCCAGAAGGCGAGCGAGGAGAACGCCCGGGGAACAAGAGAACGTTAAGATAAGCAGCTGCGCAGGGAATCCGCCCAAACCAAAATTTCCCGCCAGCTCCGCCCCACCCACTGCCCCCTCCAGGACGAGTCCACAGTTCTGGCTGAGAGGGGAGGCGGGATTCACATTTCGGGCTAGAAGCCCTTCTCGGAAAGCAAGTTTGGGAACGGAAACTACTAGGTCCCAGTCAACATTCCACATTCAGCGCGCGAGGCCGACGGTGGGGGCAGCTCCTGGGGCATTGCCCTCACACACTAGAAAGCCGCCCCCTCCGCCAGGGGACCCGTATGACTCCCCCCGCGCGCAAAGAGGCCGCTCACCGCCCTACTTCCCCCACTGTCTCTAGCCGGAGGGTTTCCTTCCGGACTGCTGGGGCCCCTCGCACGCCTCTCTCCTCCCCCACCAGAGCGCCAGGCATCCCCGAGTCTTAGGAAGCAGGCCCTTCCCGCGCCCCCGACTGTACTGGCTCCTCGGCAGCCTCGGCTCAGGCGGCCAGCGCTGGACAGCGGCCGGGGCCTCCCGTGCTGCGCGGCGCGGCCGAGGGGCTGGCCTGGCTCGGAGAGTCCCGCTGCCTCGGCCCTCAGCCGTGCGCCTGTCGCGTTTTGTATCGCTGAGCGAAGCAGAGATGGAAGGAAATGATAGCAGAGCGCGGGGCGAGGGCAGATGGGAGTCATTTCCCCCAAAGTTTGAGCTGGTTGGCACCTCCGGACGTGCGCCCGGCTTCCACCCTGAAGACGCGCGCCTCCCGGGCACATGACCTCGGAAGCAGTCGCCGCCGAGGGGCGTGGTGAGGTGGCGTCCAGGGCTGCCGCAGGCTCTGGGGCTCCAGGAACTCTGCGCCCTTGGCGCCCTGAGTCTTGCTGCTGCCTCCGCCTCTTTCCCTCGTTCTTGTTTGCTCTGGTCTTCATTTTCTGAGAGTGTCCGCCAGGCCCGGGCCCTGTTCCTGGCTAACTTACCTGGGGCGGCACTGCTGGCGGCCATGACTCCCGGACTCTGAGCTCCTAGGCGCCCAAAGCCCCTTAACCGCAACGCCACGCCTTTGACATTTACTGCGCCCGGGGCCGCTTCCCAGGCTGTGGGCAAGAAGCTGATTTCCTTCTAGCGCCGAGGGCTAGACGTTGTAGTGTTTATTCCACTGGAGGCAGGGAGGGCGCTAGTATCAGCACAGATTTGGGATAACCCAACGGAAACGCCGCGGGAACCCGGTGGCTAGGAGTAGAACTAGGATCTCAGGCCGCGATGGTAGAGTTTACAGTGGGGCATAAAGCAATAGCTTTCTAGATAGTTGTCAATAATGCAAGTATCTCGATATTTCTAAAAAAAATCTGAGAATTGAATGGTTTTGAATTTTCAACATCAAAAGAGACAGTTTTAGATAAAAGTAGAAGTGTTATTAAAGTATTATTGGGGAAGTTTTACATTTGTTGCTGTGCCTTTCCTTACAGGCCCCGCCTTTTCAGTCACCTTAACTGGTTCCTCTTCGTTATTGGGATTCCTTTGAATGAGGCTATGGAGTATACACTGCCTTTTCTGGACCAGTCTTGCAACTTTTCGACCTGGATTTGAGCCAACGTTATTTTGCTCCCTTAAATAACTACGTTCTCCAGTTATTTACTGAAAATGTTCACGTGAGAGATACGTTGAGTCCTTGCCTTTACTAAAATGTGGTGATTGTAATGACTTCATTTTCCTAGACCCAGATAAAAGTCTCACTTTATTCATGAAACTTCCTTACAATCAGCAGTGACCTCTGCCCCATGTTACGTTTTAACACTTACTATATCATTCATTAGTCATTAGCCATATACTCTAATTGTGTAATCTAATGATGTATATGCATTTTATCTTTCAAACGAATTAGTCATAAACTTTTATGAATTCTTCAAAGCACTTACTTCAGTGTATTACACAAAAATTATTTGTCTCGTTACAATATCTAACCCCAAACAGATTACCTGCTTATTTTTGTTGTTAATCTGTATACAGAAAGTGTTTATTATTGTTACTTTTCAGCTGCAGTTATTTTAGAGAAAGAGAAATATAAAAGAGAAAGGCCACACTCTAGCTGCCAAAAAGTAATAGGATTCTGTGCCAGTAAGCACTTAATAGAAGATTCTTTATGACAATAAAAATATACCTTTTTATGAACATACATGAACATAAACCTTAAATGCAAAATACTTAAGAGGAACGAAACATGTTTCAACCATAGTTTACTTCATGGTGTTGTCTTTATCAGAATATAGTTATCCAATCAGACATGCTGATTAATTCAATTACGTAAGTCTAGTGCCAATTTGAACCTTCGGACAATGCAAGTAAGTCAGTACTTGAAAAACAAAGTTGTTTTTCCCATCTTTGCCATTGTAGGGATTTCCCTCTCCTTTTATACATAGTTACTACTTTATGTCGGGTGTATTCTAAGTGCTTTAAAATATTAACTGGAGCCTAGTCACGGTGGCTCACACCTGTAATCCCAGCACTTTGAGAGATTGAGGTGGGCGGACCACCTGAGGTTGGAAGTTCAAGATCAGCCTGACCAACATGGAGAAACCCCATCTCTTCTAAGAATACAAAATTAGCCGGATGTGGTGGGGCATGCCTGTAATTCCAGCTACTAAGGAGGCTGAGGCAGGAGAATCGCTTGAACCTGGGAGGGGGAGGTTGCTGTGAGCTGAGATCATGCCATTGCACTCCAGCCTGGGAACAGGAACAAAACTCTCCCAGCACTTTGGGAGGTCAAGGTGAGAGGATTGCTTCAGCTCAGGAGTCTGAGACCAGCCTGGGCAACATAGGCAGACCCCATCTCTACAAAATGTATACAAAATTAGCAATGTGTGGTGCAGGCACATGTAGCCCCAGCTACTCAGGAGGCAGAGGTGCGAGGATCACTTGAGCACAGGAGTTCAGAGGCTGAAGTCAGTTATGATCATGCCACTGCACTCCAGTCAGCAACAGAGTGAGAACCTGTCTCAACCCCTCCCTCAAAGAACTTGTTAGTCATCACTACTAGAGGAAACAAATTCTATTATCCCCATTTTAAGATGAGGATAACAAAGTACAGAGTGGTTAAATAACTTACCAAAGATCACACAGATCACAACTAGGAAGAGGTTTAGCCACGATTCAGATGATTGGACTTCTGGACCCTTGGATTTAGTCACTGTGCTCTGTATGTGTGCCCTGCTGAGTCTCTGGTAACTCTTTTGTTGTTGATACTGAGAGAAGGTCTTACTCTGTTGCCCAGGCTGAAGTACAGTTGATCCAGCCTTCCAGATAGCTGGGACTACAGGCAGGTGCAATCACACCTGGCTAATTTTTTGTATGTTTTATAGAGATGCATTTCACCATGTTGCCCATGGCTGGGCTATTGAACTCCTGGGCTCATACAATCTGCCTGCCTTGGCCTCTCCAAGTGCTAGGATTACAGGCAGCAAACACTGTGCCTGGCCCTTTGGTAACTTAACAATGACTCTGCTACTGGCTGTGTTTCAGGTCTGGGAGAGATATTTGTAGTAAATAAGCCAGACATTAATTGCACAGTTGATCATACCATTCTTCTTGAAACACTTCCTCCCATTTCACTAGCTGTCTCTTCTCCTCAGTCTCCTTCTTGGCCCCTCTTCCCTTCTCAGCCTGTTATTGCTCAAGATAAAAACCCTTGGTGTAGCCGGGCAGGGTGGCTCACACCTGTAATCCCAGCACTTTGGGAGGCTGAGGTGGGTGGATCAACTGAGGTCAGGAGTTTGAGACTAGCCTGACCAACGTGGTGAAACTATCTCTACTAAAAAATAAACAACCCTTAGAGTCTTATTTACCTTCTCTTTGTTATCTTATGTCTTCCCTTTCCTAAACGTAGTCTTTTCCTAGGCACCAGCTAATGCTTTATCCTGTTTGGTTTTTCTGCATAGTATATATTGCTATGTAAAATTACATGTATTCATTTGACTTGTTAACTGTATGTTTCCTCCACTATCATGTAAACTTCATGATGGATTTAAATCTATCTTAATTTGGGTTTCAGATGTTCCTTTTTAAAATCTTTTCCTGCTTTCTGTAAAACGTACTAAATACTTTTTATTTCACCTTTCCCCTCTAATTTAAATGTTTTACTCTTTAATTTTATTATTTTAAATAAATTAAGACATACATGCTTATCAGTGTCTAAAATATAAAAATAATCATAATGATTGTCTTTCTTCTGGATCATGCAAGGACCTTAGAATGCTTTAACAACATTAACCCTTCTTTGGGCAAATATACTATTACTGTCTAACATGTTAAATGCATCTTTTAATCTCAGTAAGCATCATTATTTTACTGCTTTTCATATATTATGAAAATGTTTCCTCACACTTTTATTACTTTCTCCTCTTTCTCATCTCAGACCTCCATCTGGATCACTGTCCTGCTTAAACCTCCCATGGAGAGGCTCTCCAGTAGACAGATGAACTGTCTTAGTATTTTGTGAGTTTGAATAAAACTCTTAAAATCTTCCTCGGGGGAATATGTTCTTTGGCAATCATTCATGAATGGAAGAACTGAAAAAATTAATGGAAAATTATCATCCCCTATAACTGCAGGATTCTATATTTCAATTTAGAACATTCCATCATGGGCCAAAATATTCATTTATCATGCCACCGTTCACCCTTAAGAGAAATATATGTAAGCCAAAAAAGACAGAAGTCATACTTTGGGTTCTGGCACCAAAATTTAGAAGTGCTCCTTTATTTCAAGCCCAGAGGTTTTTATACCATAGGACAGACTGCCAATCAGGTTTTGGATAGTTAAGTATGCCTATTTTTGTAAAAGGGCAATTGCAATAGGGGAGGTAGGAAGAAGGACTGGAATATAGGCAGATCAGTTTCAGTAAAAAGTACATTTGTATGTTGACTAGCTGACAGTTCATTCTTTTAAAACTCTTTTGTCCAGAATACCATCAGGAAACTTTTTGGAATGTCTTATGCTCCCCCAAGAGTATATATGGCTGAATGTGAAAACACTGAACTAGTCTATAATTTGAAACCCACAAAAATGTTCCTGCCAGGTTCTTGGGAAGAACACAAAGACCAGATAAATATATGTAGACTTCTGATTTCATAATACCAGTATAGAAATCTTAAGCATATGAGTAGCTCTGTAGATTGACATTGAGTGGCAGTTAAATAAACAGGTAAGGAGCTAGCAGATAATCAACAAAACAAGCATTTATTTTTACAAAATTGGATGAGCTCAAAAATGACAGCCTTGTTGGACTAAAGGCTCAAAGGGATCAGAATACTTACACCCACAAACTCAGAACTATAGCTCTCCCTAATACACTGAATACCTAATCTCTCTTAACAAACATAATCACCACGAAAAGCAGACTGAATTATGGCCATGTGTTTAGAAGCACCAGGAGACAAAATTTCTGTAATTACAATCTAGAGAAAGACTATTGTTATTTCATTTTAAGCATCATTGAGTTTTAGCAAGTGAAGAAATAAAAACAGGCGGGGCATGGTGGCTCACGCCTGTAATCCCAGCGTTCTGGGAGGCCGAGATGGGCAGCTCACTTGAAGTCAGGAGTTTCAGACCAGCTGGGCCAGCATGGTGAAACCCCATCTCTATTAAAAATACAAAAATTAGCAGGCTTGGTGGTGCATGCCTGTAATCTCAGCTACTTGGGAGGCTGAGGGAGGAGCGTCACTTGAATCAATGAGGCAGAGGTTGCAGCGAGCTGGGATCACATCATTACCCTCCAGCCTGGGCAACAGAGAAAAAATTCATCTTAAAAAGAAAAAGAAAGAAAGCAGATGGCTTAAGAGCCAGGGTACACAGGAGAATCACCAAGACAGCTAGGGGTAAATGCACATGTCCGTCACCAACTGACTATGCAAAATCTCCAGGGTGATTTTGTTGCCCACTCCTAGTTAAAGACCATTGCTTTAGGGGATTTATTTCTAGAGAATCTGCAGGGATCAAGACATCCTGGGAAGAGTTATGTCACGTTTAACCAGCTTTACCCAAGTATACTATACTGGGAACCATTTTAATAGAGGCTCCCTTACCTTAAATATAGGAGCAGAGCCAGGGCCTTTGTTCTTAGCAATAGATCTGTGGTAGGATTGTATTAATAATTGCATAGCTGGCCTGAAGGTATTGACTTACCTCAACTGATTGTTCACAGTCAGAAGTTTAATCTGAAACTTTTTGCTCTATTCTTTCTCCCCTTCTCACTGCAACGCTTGACTAGTAGAAAAATAATTTTAAAAAGAGTAACTGCAGACCAGGCAGCATTCAGAATATCTGCTTATTTCTTAGTTATACTGAGAGTACTAAAACAAGTCCCCATAGATGCCCCAATAGTTAAACAGGACTGCAAAGCTGAAACACTGTAGAATGTAATGTGAAATTTTAAGATAAGAAATATATTTGACAGTTTTAATTGTGCAAGATTAGATAAGGGGAAAAGAATTGGGAGGGGAATCATATGGACTAAACTGGAAAGCTCTTCAAGAACGATGTCAGCTCTAAGCTCCTACTGTCTCTTCTGGCTTACATGATCTCCTTCATATTGTCTCTCTCTCTCTCATCTTTGGAGAGCATCCAGTTGGGCTGAAAAATTAACCATATAATGCAGACCATCTTTATCCCTGGTTCAGACATAAATTGTACAGTCCACCTGGCTAGAGTAGTAGAACTAGTTTCACTGCAGCACACAGATTATTTTTCGTAGTAGTGCTAAGGTAGTATAACATGCAAACATTGAGATTTTGTAAACTGCCCAGTGTATTTCGATTGTTAAATATGTTTGGTGATGAAAACCCCAGAAACTTCGATTGACCAATCAATCTGCCCAAGGAATCTTTTCAGTTCATCTTCAATAATATTCATTAGTCTTTCAAGCCTGATCTTTGGCTCATAAATTTCAAGGTATGATGATGGAAGCTCAAGCAATGTTCCTTTCTATAATTATATTAAACCAAACAAAGGTAAATATGGACTCAATGTCAGAAACAAGTAATGTCTGGAAGTCTATATTTTAAGTAAGGGGCACTAAGTTGCAATTATTGCAGCAGAGATTTGGGAACTAGGAACATTTTAACCCATTTTTTGTGAAAGCTCAGGAATCAAGATATTCTTTCTTAGAAATACTTAGACATGTCTTAGTTATGTCTCAGTCAGCTTGGACTGCCATAACTAAATACCATAGACTGAGTTAAACAACAGAAATTAATTTTCACACAGTTCTGGAGGCTCCAAGGTCAGGGTGCCATCATCATGGTGTTCTGCTAAGTGTTCTCGTGTGGCTTGCAGAGGGCCACCTTCTCTCTGTGTCCTCATACGGTCTTTCCTAGTCATAAGGGTGAGGATTAAGACCTCACCCTTATGACTTAATTTAAACTTGATTACCTCCCCAAGGCCCCATCTCAAATACCAACACACTAGGGGTCAGGTCTCTAATATTAAATTTGGAAGGGTGGGGCACATTCAGTCCATAACAGAAATCAACACATTTTTCCTGTAAATTCTCTCATAAAATTAATATGTATCCTTGATCACATGGTTTAATTATTTCTCAATGTAACACACATTTCTTTGCAATATTTTCATTTGTGAATACATTTCAGATCACCAAACATGTGTCTGTGTTATAGGGCTTCTTTAAAGGGCTTGAAAACTTCAGGAGAGCAACAAATACCCTTCTCCCAGAAGAGCAACAAATACGTTTTTGAATCAGGAGAGGTGAAGAGCGTAGCAGGGGAAAGCTAGGTTCCTTAGTCAGATTTCTCTGCCATATTCTTTCTTTCTGCTGTTTATTGTCTTTTCTTGTTGGTTAAACCCTTCTCTTTATAAACTTGTTCGATCTCACCATCCCATATTCTTAGCCGTAAAGGGTAAGTAAAGAAAAAACCCTGGATTACCAAGAAGGGCATTTCAAAAGTATTACCCTGACTGGGTGTGGTGGTTCATGCCTGTAATTCTAACATGTTGGGAGGCCAAGGTGAGAGAATTGCTTGAGCTTGGGAGTTCAAGACCAGCCTGGGCAAGACAGTGAGAACTTGTCTCAAAAAAAAAAAAACTAAACTAAAAAATTAGCTGGGCATGGTGGCACTTGCCTAAGTCTCAGCTGTTTGGGAGGCTGAAGGGGACAGACTGCTTGAGCCTGGCAAGTTGAGACTGCAGTGAGCAGTGATCGCACCACCTGCACTCCAGCCTGGGCCACAGAGTGAGACTTCCCCTCTAAAACAGATGTATTATCCCTTTTACTTTTAATCAATATGTTAATGCAAATAATTCATAAAATGCTACATGAAATGTAGGCAAGACAATCTGATATCTGGATCGATAACTGGAATTGGTAAGTGGAGATCCTGGTGTCCACTGCATAGGTGATTTGGGTACTGGTGAAGGTTGTGGCAGTCATTCTGAGCAGAATGTGCATGTGAGAGCCTTTCTTTACTACTGGGGGTACTCCAGGTGAAAGGATGCCTACTTAAGACACTACCTTACATGGTTTTTATGTCTTTATTTCTCAGTCTCATTGGTTGCACCTGATTTCCTCCATGACATTAAACAACTGTGGTACAATTTTTTTCTGCTGGTAGCACATGATTTTTCCAAATTAAAAAAAGAAAAGGTTATCTTTTCATCTATGTCTGTGTAAACAAACCCAGTAATTACTATAACTCAAATTGCTGCTGAAACTCTCCATATTTTAATGTGCACACTGTGGCACTTGCTACTAAACGTCTGCATATATCCTGGGAAGCTAATCCTGAATTAGGAAACCGAAAAACTGATTAAAATAAAATTGGGCCAAGTCCATGATTTTTATATTCATAAGATTCAAATTTTCTGTGAGGAAATGTGCAATACAAATTGAATTATCTTCGGGAGTAATAACAACAACAAAAAGGAAATTTAAGCAATGGCAAAATATGGGTATCCATGCAGGGAGATGTATGAATTAGGCTTGTGGTTTGAGGTGATTGCGATTCAGTATTCTGCACAGGTGAAACAACCTTTACATACTAGACTGCACAAACTCAATTCTCTTTAGGCTAAAGTGGGTATTATTCAGTTCTCCTATAGCAATGTTTTCTTGAATTTTAGAGTTTTACCAAAATAATTTTTCCACGGAGCTTTGAAGATAGCATTACTAATC